TTGATCGGAATGGGGCACGTGAACGTTTTGTGCCCAATCGTAACTGTAATGAGCAGTCGCGCCAACGCTACAATAATCAGCTTTACCTCTTATTATAAACTGCTCATCTACCAACTTCCTCTGGTGTTCAGCTAATTTCGTATTCTTGTTGTAATAATTTCTCTCTAATTTGGCCTTAACTAAATGTTCTTTGAATTTTTTTAGTAAGTCTCTCGCTTCTTCTTTCCTTACGAGCAGTATATTGTAAGCCATTCCGAAAATGTTGGCACGTGTCACATAAATCTGTTCTTGGACTCATGATTTGAATTATAAGGCGTTAATTGGTGCCATAACTTGCGAAATGCGTCATATTTTAACAATTTCAACGTGCTATCGTTTTCAAGTTCTTCTCTGCCTCCCTCACACTCTCCTGTGCATTATTTAACGCGATGTAACTTGTTCTCTGAGTCTTTGTTCAGCCATAATTTTCAGTAAGCGTTGGCGTTCTCTTTTCTGGGTTTAGAGATGAAAGACGATACGTTCGAATCTTAATTATATAAACGACCATAATTGTTGATAATGATGTGATGGCTGGTATACCTTTGTCTCTTCGTCTAAGAAAGTAAACATTCTCGTTTGCTCATTGTAAGTAAATATTTCGATTGTCTAATGATAAAATACTCGAGAGCGTGTCAAAAACTATACATTAATCAATACTGATCCTCCAAAACCTTCATAAAATTTATCTAACCTTAATCTCAGCGACTCGCCTGGCAAATCCAATGACTCTCGCGATTCTCACTTCATCCTCTTCTTCGCTTTTATACTCTTCTCCATTATATGCTTCCGTATACACACTCCAATCCAGTCCTTCTTGAACAGGTCGTAATGGAGCGGTTCCAAGGAATTCAATATCTTCGGTAATCGGACGTTTTGTGAGCAATATTTTCGAGTCGCGTGAAGACAAGGATAGAAGGGAAGATTGAGAGACTAGAGGGTGAGCCAGAAATGTAGCCAGAGATTTAAGAAAGCTGGTAACCGTCTTATGTCAATAGTATTGGCATGTTGGGAGAAACTTATATTAACGTCAAGACAAGTGAGCCAAAACAAAACAGTAACCCTACTTTTAAGCCGTTCATCCTTCGACGTACCGTAATAAACATCTGCGCGACATCATCTTCAGGTGACCCTTTTTCTCTCTCTGCTTTAACATGTGCGTACGACTGCACCAATCCCTCCGTTATACTTTGAATATAATCATACCATATTATGCTGCCTCTTAAGCCTTTTGTATCTAGATTTCAACTGCTCGCAAACATAATGCGAATCCAACAGCAAAAGCAGCTTGCTGTAATGTTTTTATATGTCCATCCGTATTACTAGCATTAGCGCTAGTACTGCTTCCGACAAGATTGTTACCTTCTCTACCAGTTGGTTTAGTGACATATCTACCCTCTTTGTTTGTTGGACTGGTAAGGTACTTGCTGTCTCTACTTGATCGTTTTGCGCTGTTACTACGCAGACTCTGACGACGAAAGTCCCAGAGTGTATAAATATTAATAAATATCAATTTCGTGACCATTGGGGACGAAAGGACAGACGTTCCTATTGTTTCTAAGAGCGTATTTAAATGTTTGGGAAGACTATTCAAGTTGTTAGGATCAATTAATGTTGAGATCATAACGCGAATGAAGATAGAAACGAGAAAGATAAGCAACCAATATTACCTTGAAGTATCTTGATTGAACAGGCATAGATAAACTGATAAAAAGTGCCGCCCAAGCTTAGTAACCGTTCTACAAATTTAGTCCGCAAGTAAAGTTTGACTAATGCATCAACGCCGTCTAGTGCTCCAAGTATATAATCACTTTTAACTCTATTTGCTCCCAAATAAACCCAAGTTTTTTGGTACTTGTCACTTACGTCTCAGAATCACTCAACACCATTTCGGGTGAGCGCATCGCAAATTGTGTGTAAAAGTTTTGTAAATTGTCTTCGGCAATTAAAGATGGTTGTTTCATTGCAAGACTAGAGGATAAAGACTTTACAATAAGCAGGCTAGTAGAAGAGCATGCACAAGAATAAATAATCTCAAAATCACCTGAAAGTATCCCAGTAGATAATATCGAGATCGTTTTCAGAATACGCGGCCAGGACAGCAAGTTGACCTTGAGCCTTTCCTATGAAAGATATGCACTGGCTTGAAACAACAGTTCTCACATCAATTCCTAGCAGCATCCCCTTTCGGCTAAACTTAGTGTGCTTACCATTGTCGAGGAACACTCTAGCGGCCGTTAAATAAAACCTCTTTGCAAATTCCCATTTCTTGTTTCCCTCCACATCAGCTATACATTCTCTATATCTTGCGAGATCTCCTAAATAGATCAAACATCGTTGTATACACTCTGCGGCAAGTTGCTTGCGTGAGGAATATGCGGTACAAGCTTTTGAAGATGAACGTTTGCGAGACGTATTGGGCGAAGTTTGGGACGCAGAAGAGGCGAATGTGGAGAGTAAGAGGTCTTTGATATAGAAATGTGAATAATAAGTAGCAACATGAGTGGTTTAAATTAAAAAAAAAACATATCAAAAGCATTTACAATGAATATTGCATACCAATTCCGATAGTGTTGAGATTTATTCCCTCGCTTATCTTGATAGTATTGACAAGCGTATGGTAAAACCCCGTTCCCATGTCTAAGTATCTACTCAGTTCCAAATAAGCCATTTGATATTCGTGGCTTTGTGGCTGCTTATTCTGAAAGAGTTATGATAAAAGTCGGAGTAAATCGAGACTTGTCCACAAGTTACCCATCTCCGCCCCCATTTCCTTTTTCTTTAGATCCTACCTTTCTCAATTGAATGCGCAATTCTTCGATGTAGCTATAGAACACGTGTCGCCACAATCGCTCTTCGATTCCATGTTCACTCGCAAGTTGTAAATCGGATAGTATCATGTCTTCGTAGACATCCTTTAGACTTTAATGATTAGTTCGGTAAAATTAAATATACAGTCATTATCAAATGAATATTCAGAATGTGCTGTCGTTAAGAACAGTTTAAATATTACTAATTTTGCTCAATTAATAAGCTTACCAGTTACATATAAATTCGGTTTCTTGCTCAATCTCATTGACATTTTTAAGTTGACGTCTTTGGTAGTCTTGCTTTTTCAATTCCCTTTCAAGATCGGATGCTTCACTGTAAAAATCATAAACCGTAATTGAAGTATCATTAATAGTCTGCCTCTAATGACTATTGAACGTATAGACGGGGTCTCAATTGAGATTGTCAACACGCTCAGCATACGCATATGTCTGAATTCCAACATACTCTAACAGATTTCTTATTCTCTCCAAGTCTTCGTTGACATCATAAAAGCATTAATCCATAACGACTAGTCAACAAATATGACAACAATGCAAGAGTAAGGAAGGAAATGAATAATGTTTGTGGATAACGTATAGGCAATTGCAAATATTCGAGATAACTTCTTCGTTATGCAAAATATTCTGACGGCGTTTGTATTTGGGTCAAAGGTATAGGAAATTAACTTTTTCCATTAACAGTTAATGCGCTGGTGGAAGTGTAACAAAATATTCCAGGCTACCGATAAATTCGCACGCAATTGTTTTCTGTCTCTCCTAGTAAAAGCTCGTACATGGCAATGTAAAATAAATATTATTATATGCTTCTGCTCATTTCGGTGATTGCTTTTGCGACTGAATCTAAATTACAAGACTTATTCAACGTGCGCGCTCTTCACATACGACGTACTCGTATCCAAATAAGGTCAGAACTATTCACAATTCAGTTCTCTTTTGCGTATCTCCCGACCCAAAATCTAATTTCTCTTCGTTTTTACTTGTTGAGGGGTGTAAATTATGGGATATTTGCACTGCCAAGCAACGTCACGTCTTGTTTGTGACTTTTCAAGCTTGACCAGATGTGCAATGGTCCCTTCAACATTCTTTTTGAATGTCAAAAGAGCATTCAGCACAGATTGCAGATTATGTAGGTCATATTTTGATGAGGGTTTCCTCACAGTGTTGATAAGAACAAGATGGAATAACCTCTTGTAAGGGACAAGAGCATAGAATTTTAATTCAAACCCTATATAGAAAGATATTTGGTTAGAGTTCCTTATAATAAACATATCTATAAATAAACCTTACCAATGTCCTGGAAACCCCAGAAAACCACAGCAGAAGTATCAACATCTTGAAACTTGCTACTTATATAGAACCATATATCTCGCAATTCCCATGAAACTTTCATTTTGTCTCGCCATTGTTTGGACGCAGAGCATTTTGGGACTCCTCCAGAAACTTCACCAACAGCAACCTCTGCCCCCCCAAATAACCCTGAGAAGTTTATACGTATATCTGTCTTGTAGCCCATCCTTGCACGGAGTTGAGGATTTCTGGTTTGATTTCTTCGATAAGCTGATGAAGCCAAGCTCTGCTCACCACTAAGGAAAGTTATCCATTTAGTTATTAATCAATACATACTATACTAGCTGTTTTCACACATCATCAATATGGTGTTCATCAAGCCCCAAATTGGACACTCAATAGCTACAGATCTATACTACAAAGCCACTTTGCATATACCAACCAGCAGGTGACAGTGTGAAAACAGCCACTAATACAACACTAATATCATATTGGACACATTAGATAACTCACTAGGAGATGACAAGATCAGGGTTTGTTTCAACTGTGGCATCAAGCAGCGGCATAAGTGTACGACTTGTATATTCTGTCTCGGACATACGTTGACTTGCATTACGCCTTATATATTTAAGACTGAAAAATAAAGATGGGTTGTAAATTATGTCTTAGGCAATTGATATTACAAAGACATTCAGTGAACTTACATAGATATAAAGCACTCCTTGATTATTCGCTCTTTATCATCAGTTGGACAAACAGTATCATAATTATCAGACTATAAGATAAGAAAGAGAAAGTTACTGATAAGGTAATAATAATAACCAAAAAAACTGCAAAAAAAATAAGTTTCATGTAAATAATACCTCTATAATGCGACAAAGAAATCTTGTTTCATTCTCATCTAATTCCTGGGTTTTCATTACAATTCTAGTCCTTATTTCTGATTGCATGTCCTGGAGATAGTCCTTTAGAAGAGAATTTGTAGGAGTATGTTGGCCAGTATGGTCAATAATATAGTACCAGAGGGGACTGTTGGATTTATTTTATGACAAGCATCAGAAACGGTCTGCTAAATATTACTGAGTAGATTGCAATCACATAATAACTTACTGATACATCTGTTTGCATTTTGGAATGGATTTTCGTGCAGTCTCCACCATGGTCATTACATTCTCCCAATCAATATTTGTTGATGGAGTTGAGTGTAATGGGAGAGGTTGCTCCTTCTCTAAATCCTCATCAATACGCTTATCATTGTAGTCATAATCGTCACTATCATAATCATCTGTTGATATTAACAGAGTTAAACATAATAATAATAAGCAAAAAAAATTGCTAGCTAGATTACAAATATACTTATAATCATAATTAGCATAATTACCTTCATAATCATCACTATCACTCTTTTCTGAATCCGTTTTGATGCTTTCAGGTTGAGGTTCTGATTCTGTTGCACTATCACTCTTTTCTGAATCTGTTTTAATGCTCTCTGATTGAGGTTCTGATTCTGCTAAACTCTTTTCTGAATCCGTTTCAATTTTTTCTGATTCTGTTGTGATTGAACGATGGTCTGGGACAGGTATACGATTTTAGGGAATTAAAATAATTTTAAAAGCAATAAAGAAAACTGTTATGGTGGTCTATTCTTACTAACTACCTGGACATGGTGAGTCATTAAGCATTTGGCGAGCCCGTTTGTTTATACATTCACCATATATCTTGTGCTCCTCATAAACGCGCTTGAATGTCGATGCTCTATGAATAAGCTACAATAACTGATATAAATAGCCAGCTAATAGTACATAACGATGACGCTTTTGGTGTGCAAAAAAGTGTAAACCATATTACCTTGTCATACTGCATTTCTGTTTCTACCGTTTTCTCCCGGACAGTCTGCCAGTAATGGTCTGATTCCAAGTCGTTGAGCATGAGCTTTTTGAGACAAAACTTCAGTTTGAAGAACTTATATTTAATCATACTCAAAGGTGAAAATACTTACAGATAACCGTCTAATAAGCTCTGTGGCATTAGTCTTTACCCTACGGTCATTATAATTTACAAAATGACACACCATGGTGGCGTACTCTCGTTCAGCCTCTGCCTTCTGTGTGTAAGAATATTTAAATTTTTCATAGAATCGTGCAGGATGGAGTTGGCTGTTCTTTTGTGAAAGAAACCAATTGATATGTTCTTGAGTTGCCATGGACGCGTGCTAAAGAATTTGCCGCGCGTTTGTTGTCCGGAGCAAAGTATGAAAAAATTTCGATCACATGTCCGTCGACTAATGATTGTTATTGATGATGATGATGATGATATTGATCGCGTCAATAACCGTCGGTAAAGCAGAATGTAACAGTAAAACATATATATTACATTCAGCAGTGCAGCTAACTAATTATATTGCAGTCATGTCATCAATCGCATACCGAAAACAGTTACAGGTTGTGTGCACCGAGACACACACGACACTCATTGCAACAATAGTATATTAATATTGCTTAATTAAACTATAATAATTTATCTTTAAAATGATATAAATTTTATTGGTACTTGTTTAGAAAAATATAAAGAATTAACGACTTGAAATTTTCAATTTCTCATATGTTTTACTAGTAAAATCTGTATTAGTATCGTATTTACACTTTTGGCATGGGGGTGTAGATTAAGATGAAGTACAGTAGTTAGAGCTATGTAAGTATCAGAGGAATTGGCAAATGATGCTTTTATTGGAGTGATATACGTTAAAAACTCAACTCTTGAAAATATAGGTATGGTAAGAAGATATTGATTATTGAGGAAGAAAAAAAAACACAAATTTTAATGTGCTGACGAATGGTTCTCCAACAATAATTAAACAATTATTTTTCGCGAATTAGCTTTTGAGAGGCCAAATCTCGCAAAGTTGTTCGCCTGGATCTGGATGTATTGCGGTTGTTGTTTGGTGGGGGGTTTCCCAATTGTTTCGGCATGGGTGTCATTTCCTGTTTCTTCCTCAGGGATTGCTTCTTCGTTTGAAACTGAATGACTTGAATCCGTTTCGGATGTGGTGGGGTCGGTGAGACGTGGTTTTTTTGTTGGTGGAGACTTTTGTGCTATGTTTCGGACGATAGTAGCACGGCGGGATTGTGAGGGGATGACCGTATTATTTTGGTCAAGTGTTTTTAGGTATAACAAAAGTAGAATTCGTTGTACAACTCTACCGCGCCCTCAATTTTAATACGAGTGCCGGAATTATATACTTTTGTCCGATTCGGAAGACGTGTGTTTTTGATCGAAGGAAATGCTGTCACCTTAATGTATAGAAACTCAAAGCTAAATGTAAACTACATATAAATAAATGGAAAAATCTACATCGCGCAAGCGGACACAATTGGTGGATGTTGACCGGAGTTTGAAATATCGCAAAGAATTTATTGGACAAACGTCATGTGATTGATAAGTGATCTGCAGAACAAAATTCAAGTACTACCGTTTCTTATTATTATCGAGAACTGACCATTAGCTTTAGCCAACCGCCGCGATCAACGATGTCTGGCTCCCTTTTACTACGTACATTTCGGGACGTATGACTCTTTATCTCATAACAGGTTTTGTTCCCATATTGAGTTTTTTTCGCAGGTTGTGTGGCAGAGAGATCAACAACTCTGTGCTGGATGGTGTGAGACGGGATTGCCGGACGCGTTGGTCGGCACAGGTGGCTGTGGTCTGAGACAACTCTGGGCCCTGTCTTCACCACCACACAACCTTTCAGGTTGGATGATACGCGGCGTAGGATATTACTGGAAGCGTTGGTCGGCATATGTACAGCAGCAGTGCCTGTGGTCTGAGACATCCAGAGTTCTATATCCGCACATCTTGCTTGAATTTATTGTAACCATCCTTTTACTTTGCATAATCATTGAAAGCACAGGCAGTTTGTGTGGCAGAGAGACCAACAACTCTTTGTGCCGGATGGTGCAGAGACAGGATTGCCGGACGCGTTGGTCGGCACAGTGTCTGTGGTCTGAGACAACTCTGGGCCCTGTTTCCATCACCACACAGCTGTTCTTTCTTGATGGTGGTGCTGCAAATAGGATTTCTGGAGGCATTAGTTCACAACATACACTGGTATTTGTGTTCTGAGACTTCATGGCCTATTTCCATCCATCTCTTTTTGTTGCATTGATCGTTGTATGATAGTATGATTGCCAACTTTTTGTATTGTAAATACCCTTTTTTATATTGTAGGTTTACATTTTTTATTGCATTTTATCTTATGCATTACATACTAATATTAAACTGCTACTAGGGGAAATTCTTCTCACTTTTTAGGGTATATAGAACCTCCGTACTGTACTATTTAATGAAGCTGTACCAAATATAATATAACATACCTATATAAGTGCTGTACTGTACCGTTGCGTTTGGCCCCCTGTACCATTATCACTTGGTA